TTTAATGTCACTGGCTGCAATAGTTCTTAAAGATCCCTGGCCGTGGAACATTCACTTTGACTACAGTGGACGTTTGAGTAACGTGGGAGTTAGAGGTGGATCCCCTGTGCAGTCAATCCACACGTAACTTTTGACTCTCCCCAAACTTAACTACTTAGCAGCTTAGTGCTGACCAGAAGCCTTATCAGTAACAGGTGATGATGAACACATATGTGGCGTGTTATATATATTGTATACTGTATTCCTACAATAAAGTCAGCTAGAGGGAAGAAAATGTTATTAAGAAAATCATAAGGGCTGGGCATGGTGGCTCACGCCTGTAATCCTAGCACTCTGGGAGGCCGAGGTAGGTGGATTGCCTGAGCTCACAGGTTCGAGACCAGCCTGAGACAGAGTGACACCCCGTCTCTAAAAAATAGCCGGGCGTCTGGGTGTTGCCTGTGGCTCAAAGGAGTAGGGCGCCAGCCCCATATACTGGAGGTGGTGGGTTCAAACCTGGCCTGGGCCAAAAATTGCAAAAAAAAAAAGAAGAGAAAAATATCTTTACCGTTCATTAAGTGGAAGCGAATCTTCACGAAGTTCGTCATCGCCAGGTAGGCTGAAGAGGAGGAGGAAAAGGTCGTCTTGCAGTCTCAGAGGTGGCCGAGGAGGAAGAGAATCCACACCTAAGTGGACCACCCAGCTCCAACCCACACTGGTCAAGGTTAGCTGATGTATCTATTGCAGAACATCCTTTGGAAAACCAAGACCAGCAGGGCTGGAAGCCCCTCCCAGCACTACCCTCAAGGGTCGATAAAAAAGGCCTGAAGCTACTTGGAGCGGGATGGGGGGAGGGGGTTGAATTCTGGCTCTGTCACTTAGCAGCTGTGTGCCCCTAGGAATTCCCTTGGCCTATCTGGGCCTCAGTTTCTCTCTCCAGTAAAGAGGAGTTGGGGCCTATACCAGCCTCATTGAGCTGGCAGGGGCTGGGAGGCTTCTTGACCCAGGGTGCATGTGGCACAGTGTGGTTGGAGCACCCTGACCAAGAGGAGAACATCTGAGCGGTCACAGTCGATGGCACTCTGGGGTGACAGAGCTCAGCTGGCCTCTCAAGAGCAGAAAAGGGGGCAAGGTTGGGGTGGGGCTGAGGACCACAGGATGGGGCTGAGTGGCAGTGGCAGGCCCTGTGCTTTCACCTGCTTCCCACCACGCCAGGCCACTCTGGTGGGTGCTGAGGTGCTGGGAAAAGTAATTCCTGCCCTGGGAGCCAAGACTGGGGCAATCAAACTGTTCGTCGGGGGCACGTGGATCCTCCTGTTCAGGCCTACCCGGAAGGGGCATCCCTTCACCATTTCCAGCCCCTTGGGGACATGGCATGGCTATCTGCCTCTCACCCAACCCGGACCTGAGTTCGGGCCATGGAAGGCGCCCAGATCTCCCCTGTCCCAGCCAGCGCCTCTGCCCTGGTTCTGGGGAGCCAGGCGCTGCCATCTGCTAGCCTCCCCCGCTCTTCCCCTCTTGGTTTCTCTCCTCCTCCATCCCGCCCTGCCAGTCCCCTCGCAGGTGCTGGCCTCCAGGGCCTTGGGGACCATCTTCAGGAAGTTCCCAGAGGCCAATGCAAATGAGGCCACTCCCTGTTATTGAAGAGCAACTTGCAGGCACAGATCTGCCTCTGGCAGCCAGTGGCTTCTCCTCCAGACTTAATCCCTCTGCTCTCTGAGTCACCAGGAACTTCTCAACCTGGGGCCGGTGGAGCATGGTCTGAGGCCAAGAAAGTGCGTCCCATGAGCCAGCCTTGAATGAGCTTCGTTGAAACCCAGAACTGGCTGAAAGAGCATCTCCGGGCTGAAAGATAGAATTCAGCCTAGGGTGCCTTCCTTGTTGACCCAGGACAAGGTCTGCACTTGGGTTGTATTACCTCTTAGGCTCTGCCCATGGTAGGACATCCGTCAGGGTGACAAGCCTCCTGGAATGAGTGTGCACATCTACTGACACAGGCTCCTGGGTTCAGAGCTGGGCTCTCTGCACAGCTGCGGGACTGAGCAGAGACGCCCAAGGGCCAGCCTTGGCAAAGGAGGCCAGCACGGCCACCCACGTCCGCAGGGCTCCGGCAACCCTGCCCCAGGCACCACCAGGCCAGGCTGGGTGGGAGGAGGAGCAGGGCACCTTTTGGCAAGTTCAGCAACGAGGAGCCCAGAGAAGGTGTGATGAGTCACCTGGAGAAGTTCACAGCAGTCACCTCCACACAGACCTAAGACCAGCTTTGACTATCAGGAAGGCCGATCTCATGACCACCCACCCTGTGGTCACCCTCTACTGGCCGTCCTGCCATCCTCATGGCCACCATCTCCCCTCTGGGCAGCCCCCACTGCTCACGTCCTGCGTCAGCACCTCCCTGGTGTGGTTCTTGACTTTGAGGAATTTGATGATTCTCTCTCCGCACACTCAACCCAGGAAAAATAAACCCCGAAAACAAAAAAACATGCAGGCAAGATCCTAGATGCTATTTCCCTGGGGGACATCCGGTCCTGGGAAGCCCTAAGGCTCTGGGGTGAAGTCTGCGTTTCACGCAGCACACGGGGCCTTTGTGAGCTCCCCGTCCAGACGGAGACGGCAGCCCTGTCCTCAGAACTCAGACACTCAGCTCTGGGCGTGGGTTTGTGCACCCAGACACACTGCACTCCGCTCACCTCCAGCCTTCACCCCTGCTGTCCCTCTGCCTGGGATGGCCTTTCTCAGGCCTCTGGACCCCAGGCGAGTGTCCCCAGTGGGTGGGAGCGCGGGTGGCTCCTCTGCCTCTCAGAGTCTCTTCCTCTCTCCCCGACTATGAGCAGATCTTGTGGTAGAGACATCCCACCACCCTGGTACCCAGCTCTGAGTGGTGAACAGATAGGAAAGGACCCCATGGCTCTGAAGCCAGGCGGTCTTCATCATCCAGTCAGTGAGGACGGGCCAGTCCAGCTCCGGGCTGACCCTGCCCAGGCCTCAGCCCTCCTCCAACCAGGCGGCTTACTCCTGCTGCCAGGATCAGCTCCCTGTACCCGGCTGCGCTCACACTGCAGGAACCATCTGCCATGTCGGGTGGGCTTGGCCTTTAGCCTCCACCAAGAGGACCTTGGCCACAGGCCACACCCCACACACCTGCAACCTGTTCCTTAAACAGCTGCTCCTTGAGTGAAGCCCCCCATGCCTCCCACCCCTTAAAATGTGACAGTGGCCACACCTTGGCTTGTGTTCGTTCAACAAGTCTCTCGCCATCCAAGGGCTCCTGCCAGTAGGCACTGTTCCTGCACTTGACCTGAGAAAGCCCCTCTCTCCCTCACCCAAGCACCCTAATTCTGTGTCTCTCCTTCACTGCTCTGAGGGCAGGGACGGGTCTTATTACTGCTGAAACTGCGGGTAGTGTTTGGCAATTAATAGGCAGTAACAGTTTATAGACAAAGTTTGACAAATTAATCCTAGATGGACGCTGCCGATGAAGGAAGGGAGAGAGGGAGAGAGAAAGGGAGGGAGGGAAGGGAGAGAGGCTAGGGAGAGATTTCTCATAAAGGTGGACACCAACTCTCCCTTCCTACAGCATTTTCTGATCACTGCCTTGTTGTAGGTGAGTAATGAGCTTCTTATTCCATGAGACCCTTCCAACAAGCTATAGTCAGTATAATTACTCTCTATTCTACATTGGAGAGACAAAGGCCCAAGTGTCACAATTAGGAGGGACCAAGTGTCTCAGCCTCCAAATCCAGTGCCCTCCCTGAGGCAGGAGCACAAATCTTGGTCCTCTGAGCCAAAAGGGGTTACGGCCAGCACCAAGGGGAGGTCTCTCTTCTTTCCTCCCTGGAGACAGCAGCCTGCCGGAGTCTACGGACACTCCCAGCACATGTTAATGAGCCGTCACAGGAACGGTGCCCTCCTACTAATATTTTCCCAATATCTTCCCCTCTCAGGACCCTGGGGAGTCTTAAGGTAAATATTCCCACACAGAGCCTAGCCAGCTTCAGCCAGGGGCCATGAGGGGACCTAGAGTCGGGGTAGGAAGGCTTCAAAAGAACCATGTATGCAAGGCTGGGATGGTCCCTCCCAAAGGGGCATGAAGCACTCTGGAGAGGGGGCTCCCCCAGGGTTCCCAGGGGGCTCTCATGGAGGAGAAGAAGAAGAGGAAGGGCCTGCAGACAACCCAGGCCCCCTGCATCCAGCACTTCATTTCCACCATCAGCAGAGGAAACGGTGGAATTCCCCAAAGCTCATGGCTTGGTGTGCACCAGCCTGCACTCTTTTCCTGCAGAGGGGGTACACTGAGTCAGGAGACAGGAGAGTCTCACTACTTTCCCAGGGTGGGGCCCCTGGCTGGCCAGCTCTCTTTCTTACATCTGCTCCCCAGAACAGGCACATAACTCGGCCAAGACCGTTCACAAACCATCTCCCTGTCAAGTTCTGGTCACATGCCGGGGAGCTCTGAGCAGGCAGAGAGGACAGGAGAGCAGTGGGAAGGATGGGAGGCAGTGGGTCCCCCTCTGAGGAGATTTGCCCAACTGCCACCCTCAGAATTGATGAAGTGAATGGGATAAACAATATTTTCCCAACTCTGTGACATGACACACAAGCCGAGACATCCCTCTAATCACCTCCTGCTCCACTCATATCAGAATCCCCTTCTTATATCCTCATCTCCTCCCTGAAGGGTGGAGACCATGTAATGCACAGCTAAAGTAAGTCTTTAAAACAGAAGTTAAAAGATAAAACACAGGTAAGGAGTGGGATACTCATATCAGAAAAATACTCATACTCAGAAAAAAATGAGATAAATATAAGGTAATGCATGAAATTAGCTCTGAGCTTCCTGGAAGCCAAGGTAAAAAGGGAAATATGATACCCTCTGAAGTTTGCAAGAGCTAATGAATGGTCACAGAGAATCGTGGTTAGGACATGGACTCCGGGGTCAGAGTGTCTAGGTTCAGAGTCTCTATTTATTGGCCATCTGTGCAGCTTTGTCCTGTTCATACTCTGGACCCCTGTGCCCACAGGCTGCTCCATTACTGAGGCTGTGACAATCTTGGCGAACAAGCTCAGGGATTACCAGAGTCAGTTCAACACCTCCCACCTGCTGGCCCTCTGCGACTACTTCCACAACACCTTCATCCGCCACTACAAGCTCTTCCAGTATGTCCTGGGTCAGAAGCAGGAAGTCAACCTTACAGTCGCCCACCTGGAGGTGTGCGCACCGCCCCAGCCCCTCCCACTGGCCGAGGGCAAGGACAGGGAGGTCTGGAAGCAGGAGCAGCAGGTGGCCGAACTCGAGGTAGCCGAGGCACAGAAGCGCAGCAGCCGGCTGCTGCTGCAGGAGACACTGAGGCTGGAACAGGAGCGGCTGCTGCGGAAGGCCTTCCAGGTATCGCCGCGGAGGCCCAGCCGTGGCCTGGTCAGGCAGGTAAGACCTACTGAGACAGTGGCCTCAATCACGGCAGACAGGGCCTCATTGTCAGCGTGCAGGAGAGGAGGTGAAAGGTCCCCACGAGGTAGAAATCTATGTCCCCATTTTAGTTATAAAACAACCTAAGGCTCAGAGAACTCAAGCAAACCGCCCAAGGTCACCAAGCTGGCCCATGGTAGTGCCTATGTTGGATTGAGGCTGGGCTGGCCCTGAAGTCCCAGCTCTTTCCACTGCATCATGAGTGGTGAGATTCCAACACAAGAGGCCAGAGGAGATGCCAGGCTCCAGACAGCTGCAGAGTTTCCCTGTGCCCTTCATCTGCTTACAGAGCCGCATCCCTAGGGGCCTGAGGGGAGAGGGTGAAGGAGGCAGGGACATGAGGACAGCTCAGGGAAGGAGATGTGGCCAGGTGGGCGAAGGGCAGAGCTGATGGCCCAGTGAGGACCTAGAAGAGTCTGATCTTTGGCTTTAAGAAGTTGGGCTGCCTTCTTGATGGTCTATGGGCTGGGGCCCCAGCTGCCAGGGGCTCCCACATCCAGCTCTCAGTAACGATGAAAGGCCTGGCACCAGGGCAGCCAACTCCTTGAGAGCCTGGCTGAGTCTAAATTACCATCTTTGCCACACATGGGCACTGAAGGTATCATCGTTGCATCATCTTTGAACACACGGATGTGCATGTATGTGCATGCATGCACACAGGTGCACACACATGTACACACGCACACGTGTGCCAGAATAGATGATGCCCATCTGAAGTTAAGTCTCCAGATGAATTGCACATAAGAAGGTCATGTAATCTTGGTACATTAGGACACCCAGAGGGGACCCAACAAAACCCAGCCTGCTCAGGGGACCTTGCTCCAGCTCCCATGGGCTTGGCCACAAGAGGAGTTCATATCACCCTACCACCCCACACATACTGCTGCTGCCTCCGTCTCCTCCTCCTGATACCCCTCTATGCCCCCAGAATGGTGCTGCCACCTGTGCATCCTCCTGGCAGAGCCCATGGGCCCAGGAGCCCCCCACTATGTGCCCCGGCTGTGTGTCTGAGTTGGGGGTGCTAAACACCATAGCAGGAACCCAGTGCATCTTGGAGCACAATCTTCCCAAAGACTTAAGGGAAGAACATCATTTTTCTATAAAAATAGCCAGAGAGATATTCGGGGGCAAATGTACAATTTTGCATGGATTTTAAGTTAAAATATGTGATCTCAAAGAAATGTATTACAGGCCACTGAGCAGTCCATGTATGAACCCCCACAGAAACTCTCCTCTGCTGTTGACTGCTTGAGCAAAGGGACATGCCCAGAGGCCCAGTCACCTGCTCATGTCTCTGGAGAGGTCACCAAGAGGGTCTCCTTTTTAACATGGTAGACAGTGGCTGAGTCTGGTTCTTCCCACCACTGGCTGGCTGGCTTGACATGCCTGTTCTCTGAAGCAGGGTCTCCTGTCCTCTCCCATGAAGCTGGCGGATAGAACTTGGAGCTGTGAGGGTGAAGGTGGTGGGTGGTATCCAGATGGGGCTTGCATTGCCCAGACAGTAGAGTCCGTAGGAAATATGGGATCAAAGTTAGGAACAAATGACACAAACAGGGTGACTGTCACCCTAGGCCTAAAAGAGAAAAGGAGAAGTGACCAGTGGATCTCAAAAGAGAGCAGCATCTATAGGAGAGGGCTGGGGACACAGCTGTGGCCAGTCCACGGCAGGGCAGAAGGTAGGTGGGGCAAGGCTCTTGCTGAGAGCTCCTGTTGGCCGGACTCAGCTGGGACCCAGAGGTCAAGGTCATCAGTGGATGCAGCCCTTCCCCAGTGGCCTCCCAGGACTTTCCAGGGAGGGACAGAGCAGCTGGAGAGTGGATGTGTCCTTGCGCCCAGAGCAAGGACCCAGGTGAGCACCAGGTGGTGGAGGGCTCTGCCTGCAGATTTCCCGGGCCCCGGCCACCAGCTCTGTCCCATTCCCTCCAGGACCTGGAAAACCTCATCGGTAAAGCCATTCACATCCAGATCGAGTGCCTGAAAGAGCTGCTGCAGCACGAGATCCAGATCACCTTCGACATCTTGGACCTGAAGCTTCAGAAGAAAACTTTAAACCTCAACACGTCTATCCCTTTCCCTCCCTCCATCATGGACCACCCAGCCCAGGAGGAATCTCCTAAGCCTCACAAAGCAAACAAAGGAAAGAAAGCGAAGGCTAAGAAATAGATGTCCCCATAGAAAGCAAAGGCAAGAAGTGATGTCCCCGTGACCGTCACCTGAAGACCAGCCGGGGATGTGACAGCAGCAACTGCAAGCAGTATAATATAATGAGCCCAGGGCTCAATAGATAGAGAATTCTATCCATTAAAAGAAACAAACCCATACCCACCCCCCGTCTCTGTCTTAGAAACCGCTTTCTAGCACCCGAAAATTCAATCCAAGTGGATTTCCCCTGAGTGATGGGAGGTGGCTGTGCCCCTCTGCTAAGCTCAGAGCTTTGTTCCCCCTGTGGTGGAGGGGTCAGGCTTTACTTGCTAACGAGCCTGAGCTCTTCTGAAGACACAACCGCTGGCCAGTGTACTCAGGTAAGAGTGAAGGAGCCTCAGACACCTGTAAGGCCCTCCAGCGGAGACAGTGGTTCTGTAACAAGGACGTGTCTTGACATTTTACCCCAGACTTGGTGTGTGCAGCCTGCTGGTCTCCCTGCTAGGGGACTCACAGCCACCTGACCTCCAGAAATCTCCTTTCATGAGAATCTACGCTGTCTAGACTGAGGCAGGGAACAAGCACTGTCCTGGAGGTGGGAGGGCAGGCTTTGAGCCCAGCTCTGCCACTGATCAGCTGTGCGACTATGCCCGTGTCTCTGGACACCAGTTCTCTCTCCTGCCAAGTGGGGGCTGTGGGTGGTGGCTAAGGTCCCATTTATCACTGTAACACCCTAGGAGAGACACAGGCTATGCCTGTGTGTCAAGAGTTTCAAGGTTCAAGGAGGTCCAGTTCAAAAACTAGAACTCAGGCCTTGAGACTCATTTCTGTGCCCTTTGCAGGGGGCATTGTGCTTCTCATGCAAACGGCTGCATAGATCCTGTGGCTGTTGGTTTAGCCAGTGGCTGTGGCCTCCAAAATCAGAGTTCTAAAGAGGCTACCGCATGCTGCCTCTTTCCAAGCCAGCAACCAGCTCTGCTTCCCTCCGCCACCTGCCTTGCTGCCCTGGGGCAGGTCACCCTGCACTGAGCTCACTACACCCACCTCTCCTTCACCACAGCTGCTTTCTAGATCATTCCACCCCAGGTGTACCTAAGTCCGTGTTCCCAGGCAAATCTGGCCTGCCGCTGGGGGCCCATGCTGGAGTCAGAGACAGGGTGCCCCGCTCGGAGTGCCAGCAACTCTCTGCAGCCCCTGCAGAGACTCCCAGGAGACAGGAGACCCCAGCTGAGGAGGGAGCCTCTCAGGGCTGAGTGCTGTGGCCCCCACACTTTTCCTCCTGTGTTACCTTGATGTGCAGCCAGGTGTGTTTATACTTGAGAAGTTCGGTAAACTTCCCAATACTTTTGAGACAGAGGAAGGAGGTTCCATGTTGTTCTTAAAATTTTTCCTTCATTTTCTTTTCTTTCCTTCCTTCCTTTCCTCCTTTCCTTCCTCCCTCCCACCCTCCCACCCTCCTTTCCCCTCATTTTTGTTAACATCCACATCTTCTGTGTAGGTGAAACCACTGTGGCTCAGAGGGAGGTGTGGGAACTTCCATCCTCTGCTGTCCAGGGCCTCACCAGGCTCCCTAATACCCCTAGAATCAGTGTAGGGGTATGTGTGTGTGCTTGGAGGTTGGTGGAGGGGGCAGGCAGTAAGTCCAGTGCCTACCCAGGCCAGGCCAGGGGCTGTCCCCAGCCAGAGCAGGACACAATCAGGCATCCTGGCCAGCCCTGGGGACAATCAGCTGAAGCCCCTCCCTCCTGGGCAAAGATTAAGCAAGTTCCCCAAGTGGACCAATCAGAGTGCTCCATTGCCCTGGCCCTCAGTGGTTGGACCAGACCCGGGCACATGACCTGAATTGGGCCAATCAAAGTGCCCCATTCTCCATTCCACACCCTCCACCCCAAGCCACGGAGGCAAACCTGGGATTTTCCTACCTGTAGCTCCCAGGTTTCCAATCCTCCAGGCTGTGAGACTGTGAGGATCCCAGGAGTCAGAGCTGCCTGTGGCTGTGAAGCCAGCCTGAGAGAAGGAAGCCAACCGGCTGAGAGAAGCAGGACAGGGAGGAGAGCCTGAGTGAACCTGAAACCATTCTCCCCCGGGGCGGCTCCACCATGCCCTCCAGTGGTTTGGGTGTACAGATGTGCACACACCCATTATTTGACTGAGGTCAGTGGCACAGGCAGGGCAAGGAATGCTTCAACCATGACAGATAAGGAAACCGAGGCTCACACAGGTGGCATGATTGCTCAAAGTTACTTGACTAATCGGAGGTGAAGCCAGGACAGAAGTGAGCAAACCTCCTCCCTCCCAGATGAAGCTCCAGTTTCAGCCACTGCTGCAGAGGACATGCCCCATGTCCCAGCCACTGCCCAGACCACACGCTTGCTGCTAGGGTGGGTGCCAGCCCCTAGAGATAAGCTGCCCTTTTGTTCTGGATCCGAGAGAGATCACAGCTTCTACTCCTAGATAGAAAATGTCAGGCTGGAGGGCAGAACCTGCCCCTTACTAACTTTCACACACAAAGCCAAACGAGTGTATTGAGCAAAACAAAATAGAATTTACCCATCATCACAACGCTGTCTTCAGAAAATGTCTACCCTGTCGGCAATGCCATCTCCTACTCACTGAGTAGGCCATCGATCATAAAATGCCCTGAGTCCAAACTTCCATCAACCATTCATGTTTCATCAACACCGGAGAGCCTCTCAGTGTTACAGGTGGAACGTCCTTCAAGGAAACAAAGGGCTCTCAGATGTTTTCTGTAAAATTCTTTTCATACCTACTCACAAGGTTGTGAGAACAGGGGTCATTCCCAAGCCCACATCTTCGAACTGAGGAGTAAGGTAGCCCTGTGTCCTTCCTAAGGACCCTTCCTGCTCCAGCGTTCTAGGAACACGGCTCTCAGCCAAGGTTTCAAGGCGCCTGGGAACTGGGACATAGGTTTTCTAAACCTGACGCAGGATTCTGATACAATGAGATTATGATCCAAGTGCCATCATTCCAGCGAGCTTCTGGCACACTCCTGTTTTTCAGGAGGCTGGCCTTCCTGTGGGTTTCAGATTTCTGGCAGACTGGAAATGCCATCTTCATTGACCCTCCAAGCAGAGGAAGTGGCCCAGCTTGAAATTGCCCAGAACCTCTCATGTAAACCAGCGTTAGTGCTTTTTTTCCCTAAGAACTCCAACGTTTTTGTCGATAGGTTTAGGATGGACAGGCAGACAAATGTGGAACTTTTCTAGAAATAGGATAGAGCAGTGGGTAAAAGTTGGGCAGCCACTGCCCAAGGTTTTTGCAAAAAGCACTAACTCAGGCCAGCAGCTATGTCTCAAGGACACTTGGACATCTTAGGTGTTTGAAGAGACTTACCTTCAAACTCTGAATGAGGAGATTGCTGGTGGGAGGTATTCAAACCCAAAGGAAGCTTTGTCCTCAGGCACAGCCAGTTATTGCTGGCAACCTCATGGAATAGCTGCTGCCCATGTTTTGGGAGGGATACGAGACTGCAAGCTCCTCAAAGGTCCATATCATCCTGGACACCTCCTCCTATTCTCTTGGCCCCACCTCTGATTTCAGCCAAGGCTACAGAAAACTGTTCCTTGTGGTTTCTGTCCCACTTTACACAGATGGCACTTCACACCCAGTGTTTGCCAAATGTCTCTGCTTCCTGTCATGACACTTTGATGTTATAGCACAGGGAACCTTCAGGAGGCAGTGTGGCCACCACACATGTACAACCAGGAGGTGGAGAAAGCTTAATAAGCCATGGAAGAACCTGGACAATGGGAGGTGGGAGCCCGTGGGCCATTGTACCTCCCTGTCCTCCTCCAGTGGACAGTTCTGAGACATAGCTTTATGGCTTCTCAAAAGCTCCCAGGGAGATCTAGGACCGGTCATCACAGTGTGACCACCGAGGGACACACCTTACATTGCCTTTTCCTCCTTCTCTCTCTCTCTCTTTGTTCTTCATGTCTGCTATCTGGGATCACTTCCCACAGAAACTCTGTGCTATAAGAAAGCCTTTATCTCGGGTTCTGTTTTCAAGGCCTAACCTAGGCCAGGACATGTGACTCCATCTTTGTGTTCTGCTGTGCCACATTAGCCCTGTCTGTTTTGCTTATCTTTTTTTTTTTTTTT